AACCCCCCCCCCCCCCAAACATGAGTCATAATGCATATCACGTCAAGAACGAAACAACGCGTCGGCTTGGATAGCCTCCCGCTCCCCGTTATTTCGCAAGCGGCCAGATATGGGCGGCGAGATAACGACACACCCCACACATGCATACTACACTGCTTTGGTGTGGTTCGTGGGCATCTCATCAAAAAAGATACACGACAGAAATGGTAGATGGGAGGACGGCCTCTCCTCGGCGCTGGAATGCAAAAAGTAGTGGCATAGCGGGGGTGCCGGCACCGCTTGGCCTTCTGGACGGCTCTTTCTCGCATACCTTGATGAACTCGGGCAGCGTCTTCCGCTTGGGAGCTCTCACGCCATACGACTTGGTCTCCCTCACGGGGTCCCACATGTATATGCGGTCATCGGGGTGGCCCCCGGACAGGATTCTTTGCAACTGCCGAAGACGATCGATAGACGAATAAGTGCCCCCACAGCAGCAAGGAACGACGAACAACGGGAACAGGTCAACAAGGCCAAGGACAAGTTCTAGAAAAAAGCCTTGCGGCGAATTTTTCCATACAGAACAAGACATTGGAATCCAGACTGCGGCACAACGGATCATACCTTGAGCATTGAGCGCCGAAAGGGAGCTTCGTCGATGTCTTGAAAAAAACATTAAATACATTAAAGTGTCCATCAACAAAAAACAAAAAAAAAGCCGCTCACCTCAGCGTCGCTAACGCCGCGCCCATTGCCGCCCGCTACCGGCTTGTTGGCCGCAGGGGCTTTGCTACCCACAAGCCCCTTGACCGCAAGCCCTTTGCCCTTCCTAGCCGCGGGTCTCTTACGTCCGACCAGCCCCTCCCCCGCAACACCGTCCGTGGCGGGCCGCTTTCCGGCCCCACCATGCCCGCTACATGTCACGCCACCGCCATCCGCGCGGCCCCCTCTGGGGCCTTGCCGCGGGTGCTCCGCGGTCTTTGAGGGTGCCGCCCCGGATTCGTTGGCCGCCGCCGCCCTGCCGCCACTGCCGCCGCCTGCATGTAGGTTCGCGGATGACGACGTTGGGCTGGGAGATTTGTTCTGGTTCTTCAGCACGGCGCCTCCGCGCCCCCTGAGAACGGCACCCCCCCTGCCCTTGAACCTCTTGTTTGGTGCCGGCGTGTGTGTCGATACGCGCTGGTCGTGGCGGGGTTGCTGTTGTTGGTGCTGTTGGTGCTGTTGGTGCGGCCGCTGCTGCTGCTGTTGATGCTGCTGCTGCTGCTGCTGCGGCGGCGGCTGTTGTTGTTGCTGCTGCGGCGGCGGCTGTTGTTGTTGCTGCTGCGGCGGCGGTTGAATTTGTTGCTGCTGCTGCGGCGGCGGTTGTCGTTGTTGCTGCTGCTGCTGCTGCCGCCCTTGGCCCAAGCCGCCGTCGCCGTTTGACTCTTCGCGTGCCCGGCGTACCCCCACCAAGCTCGCACCCGCAGCGCTCGCGTCTGGACCCTCGTCACCGTAAGCAGTAGCAGTAGCAGACGCAGCATGCATCGCACCGGCAGCTTGAGCAGCGCCTCCAGTCCCAACTACGGAAGGAGGAGCACCCCGCCCCTCAGGCTCAGGCGCCCGTTTCACGGAGGTCGCTGCTGCTGCTGCTGCTGCACTAGCCCTGGATGCCTTGGAGGTACCATCTAGAGTCTGCACTAGCGCAGCGAGATCTAATCCCGCCGCCGCCGTAGGAACTCCGCCGAGCCCCGCCGGTGGGATGGCAGAGGGGGGTATGCCCCACGCGCCCATCTGCCCAACGAACCCCCCGCCCCACGCGATGCTAGGCTGGAACCTCGGCAAGTTCCCGTTGAAGGCATACTCGGGCGTCACGGCCGCTGCTGCCGCCATGGACCCAGGGGCGCACGGAATGGGCATGAACCCATTCGCCGCCCCTCCGGGACCCGCTGCCGCCGCAGCCGCCGTGGCGATCCCGTGCGGGGGCATCCAATCGGGCCCTGCGGGAAGCGGCGGCACTGCGGGTTGACCCCAGCGCTGCAAGGCCTGCGGCTGTGGCAGCTGCTGATGAACGAGGAGGGGTTGCTTGATGACGGTGGGCGCTCGGTAGGCGTGGTACTGCTGGTGGAACGTGTAGCCGCCGTTCACCATCGCAGAGGCAGCGGCGGCGGCGGCTGCCGCCGCCGCGGTCCCCGGCTGCAACTGGCCGGCCCACCCGGCCGACCTAGGCGGCATCGTGCTCCCGTTGAAGCCATTCAGGGAGGAGGACGCGGTATCAATCATGGCCAAGAGCGTCGTCTGCGGGGCGCGCGGGTCATGATCGCGCCCTGTCTCCAGCGATGATGCCGATGACGGGGACGCGGGAGCGCGCGCGTGATGACTACCGGCCCCACCTGCCGCCGTCATTGTCGTCGACTGCGCCTCGTGGCGGTGAACAGCAGCCGCTGCCCTCTCCGGAACGGTGCCTTCAAAGCGCACCGCCGGAGAACCGGCGTCGTCGCCGCCACCGCCCCCGCCCGGCGCCGGAGCGCTACCGCTCGTGGCCCGTCCGGCTTCGTTATTATCACCCGGCTGACGGGCCCATACGTTGCAGGGGGATAGGCTACGTCCATGCGGATGCCCTGCAGCATGGCGACCGCCGACCTGCTCCACCGTTGCCCGGTGGAAAGCGGCGGTTGCGGCACCAGCGACGGTGGCGGCGGCGGCGGCGGCAGCGGCAGCGGCGGCGGCGGTCTCATTCGCGTCCGCCGACGCTCCGGCTTCTGACGACCCATCGGCACGAGGTGAAGATGACGCGAAATCTGAGGCGTACCGCTGCTGTTGTTGCTGCAGCTGCAGCAGTTGATGCTGCTGTTGGCGCAGCTGATCCTGTAGCTGTTGCTGCTGCTGCTGCTGTTGCCGCTGCTGCTGTGGTGGTGGAGGCGGCACTGCCCCGGCATCGTCCGGTTCATACCCCTGGCCGGTGTAGAGCTGCATGTGCGGACGTGTCCGAAGGAACATGTGGATCCCCTCGCGCTTTGGAGCATCTGCGACAATACGCACGGAGGCACCGCGGTAGTAATCGGCAACCATGCAGTGGGAAATGGGGGGGGTCGGCGGGGTGCGGGTGTAGTCAAGATGTGAAATAATAATGAAGAACGAGGACTTTCACAGAGGCGTGCAATCGCGGTTGGCTGGCGATCACGCGATCCCGATATCAAAACTTGCCACGTCTCACGCCGAGGCGAGTACTGACTGCTGACGGGGATTGCTTGCGGCCTCATCACACGCAACGTGGGCGAGGAGAGCGACAGAATAATTGTAGCAACGCAATACAAGTGGCGGCCAAGAGTGTAAGAAGCACCGAAGGGGTATGAGAGAGAGAGAGACTGTTGCTCGCCAAACAACAGACGTTCCTAACCCGAAGTCTCACCGCTCCCGGTGACCTTCTCCTTGGTGACCGTGTTCCACAGGGGGATGCGCTCGTCCTCGTCCCCGTCCGCCAGGGCCGTCACCGCCGCGTAGGCGTCTGCGACTCCCCTCGCCTCCCACGCACCGTACCACGCGATTTGCTCGGGTATGTCTTGGCCGGCGTAGAGGAACAGGTGCGGCCGGACGGCGATGAATTCGGCCACATGCCTCCTCTTTGGACACTCTGCAGATTGAGGCGGGAAGAGGGTAATGAAGCCACCAGAGACACACAAGTGATCATCGCGTAGGGGCATAAAGAGCGCGTTTTTGTTTGATAATGTTGTACCATGTTTTTGTAGTAATGTTCAAAAGGAAGACACAAGGCCTCGTGGGGAAGGGTTTGGCAAGAGCAAAGAAAAACAAAACGCGCTGAGCTTACGTTGAGCGTTGGAGCGCGAGAGAGAAAAAGAGAGACGTTAAAGTCTCCACACACAACGCAACTACAGCGAGCATTACCCCCAAAGGCGTTTAACCAACCCGAAGTCCTCGCTGCACAACATGTCCGTTCGCGATTCACACACGTAACATTCACTCTGTGGAACCAGAATTTCACCCAACTGACAGCACTTCCCTCGGAACGCGTGCAGCACACGAAGGCGACCGGAGTTAAGGCGCATGTCAAAACGACGACCACTGACCTTCGAGAGGCAGGCGTCTCCGATTGATTGCATCCCAGAGGTAAATGATGTCGTCCTGGGACCGCGGCTCGCCGTTGTCAGCCATGATCCCGCCCTCACCCGGACCGTCATGTGGGTCTCCCTGTCCCGTGTAGACCTCCGCGTTCGGGTGCGCGTTGAGCCAGGCTACCAGCTCGTCACGCGGGGGTGCCTCAAGCATGATGCACCTGCACAGCCCAAAAGTCGGCGATGAGAGCAACGCGTAAGCCGTCGGCAGTTGAAGAGCGGCTAGGTTACGCGAAACAGCGGTGCTAGTGTGCGGGTCGAGTAGCGGGCGCGAATAGCCGGTCAGGCCGTCGATTCTTCACAGCGATGGATAGCAGGCAGCCTTGCCACCAAAGGGTGTCAACCATTGCATTCTATGAAAGTCGTGCGCAACACATGCAGGCTGGATTTTTTGTCTTCCCGTGTCGCGATGCAGCATGCTTTCACACGAGCAATGAGGCTTCGGAGCAGGAACGAGAGACGCATGGCATGGTAAGCGGACTGACGAGGTTCTAAGACCAACACCGCACTTCGCACCACCGACAACGGAAACTATGCCACGGCACAGTCGAAATAACGAGCGTGGCCGCTAGGGTGGGCAGCCCTCTTTGCAAGCATCCCACGCGACGTGGACAACAAGAGCATCGGCGGCAACGAAAGCAGTAACGCATACCTCCGCCTCGAGATGTCCCACACCAGGATGCGTTCTCGCAAAATCACCGGCTGCGCCATACGCGGGCGGCGGGGAACAGCAACGCGCAAAGTTCCCCCGCTCCCCCCGGCGGCTGCTGCGGCGGCGGCGCCCCCTGATGCCCTCGGTCTAGCAGTTCTCCTCTCCACTCTCCTTGCAGGGCGGCGCTGAATCTATCGGGACACGGGGGAAACCGGAAAAAGAAGAGGAAAGCATCGAAAATAAGTAAATGGTGTCATCGCTGCTCGAGAAGCTGACACAGAGGCGTCTTGGGGAGCGGGGGGGTCGCTCGTATATCAGGCTGTCGTAGACGTTGGTTTCGTGTCGCCGCTGAAATACGGAATGTCGAGGTTTCGCCAACGTGGATGGCGTTGGACTCAGCAAGATGTGCGTGCGACGTTGGAAGAATACCTTTTTAGCTTCATATTCACCAAAAAGTACATACCACCCTGAGCGATAAATAGGTGAGGCAGCAACAAAAAAATAAACCAAGTAATGAGAAGGAGACGAGTCATACCCCCAAAGGTTATGCGAACGGCAGGTTGGAGCGATCGAAGCTCAAAATCAAGAACACACTCAACCTGCCGCAGCAGCAGCAGCAGCAGCAACAACAACAAGACTCCGAAGCAAAACAGAAAACTCACCTCCTCAGGATCGGGCGTCTCCACGACCAATTTCGCACAGTATACTGCCTCAAGCCTACGGAGCAGCCTCCGCATCATGCTCTGCCGCCCGCTCCACAGCGCCTCCACTACCTCTCCGTCTCCCAGAAGCTTCAGAGGTGGCCTCTCCGCCAACGTCGCAGGGTCCTCGTTGGCCGCCCCCGCTCTTCCTCCTGCTGCCGGCGCGGGCGGTTCGAAGCCCTCCGGGAGGGGGCGGGAGTGCGCTGTCTTCTGCTCTTGAAGGAAGTGGTACACCCCGCTCAGCACCTCCACCAGGCTGCGGATGCGGCGGTCCATGACCTGGTGGCTCTCGATATCGGCCGACTGGAAAAAAAACACAAAGTGGAGGCGAGGGACGGCACTAGAGTTTTGTCCTTGAGCGCGTAGCCGTCTTGTGCGTAGGCTTCTATTCAACTAAGCGACACCATCGGGCGTTGAACCAAACGACCACAAACAATAGATCGGGAGGTGAGCATTTCTACATCTACATGCACGCGACGGCACGACCAACTACCATTCATAATACCACTCCTCCGGTGAATGGGATCGGGTACCACGTCCGAGGTATGGCCGGTGCGCGGCAATATCGATCGGTACTTGTATGGTACTGGGCTCGCGCAAAAACAGTCAACACGTGACAATCCATCACGGGTGCCACCAGAGTCTCGGATATCATCGCCGTCACGTCACCTGGTAGGTGTGGTCCCCGGAGGCCATGAGTGTCGGTGGAAGCTTTCGACGTTCGAACTCCACGTACCGAAGCTGTCAATAGTGGACAGCAGGAGCAGCAACAAAAACAAGAAAACATAAGGCACAAGGGCGGAGGACGTGTCGTAAGGAAGGCTCTTCGGGCTGCGGCCTGGACACGCATACGTGTGGAGAAAAACGTCAGCCAGCAACTCAACCCATTGAACCCTAAAGACAAGACCGCCCCGCACACTGCTGCTGGTGCTACTCTGTGCTGGCTCTGGTGCTATATACGCACTGTCTGGTGTGCTTCCGCACCTGCATGGCGGCGAACTTCTTGAGCCAGATCGGGCAGAAGTCCCCCAGGGCCGAGCTTTTCAGCCCGAACTTCTGTAGAGTTTCCAGCTCGCCCGAGGATATCGGTGTGTCGGCAGCAGACTGTTCCCGAACCGCGTAGCAATGGCATGGTGGGTGGGTGGGTGGGTGTCAGCGGGGAGGCATCCCACGAAAAAACGGGGAGGGGGTAGGGTGCAAGGGATGTAACGAGGCCGAGTAAGCGGGACGAGGGTGGCACTCAAATGAATAAAACGGGCGTGCCTAAGCAGGTCGCACTCTTGTGACACGCTCACGTGCCCAGGGTCACGTTGGATCATGACCTACAGTAACATACCTACCAGCAAGCAGTTGCCAGCTCTAAGCGGGCACCGCTGGTACGCAGCCAATCATCCCGCCATTATCACGGCACAGGTGCACAAAACACAGATTGCGCACAGATGGTGGAACAACCAAACCGCCCAGCGGGACACCGGAGTAACTCTTCACTTCACCTGAATCAGGCCGCGGAAGACCATGAGGGGTCCCAGTCCTCGTAGAATCTTGCTGTAGCTGTCCATGCCCGTGAAGGTCATGAAGCTCTGCTGGCAGAGGTGGGAGCCGCACAGGCACACCGCTTTGCCGTACTCCGTCTCGCACGAGGTGATGGCGCCGTAGTTCATCGTCAGCTCCTCTCCTGGTCATGCACGTTGTTCAAGATTCACATGTTCGAGGTTCACGTGCGCCAAGATGCACCCCACACAATTGTGTTGTTTTCATCAGACACAAACACGAAAGCGCAGCCACACCGGAACACGCCCACACGCTTTGCGACTGTCGCAGGATAGCTGTCCAGGGGTCATTCAAACTAAGGATGGATCGATCCCCTCTCCCGCCTCTCCAATACGCGCACAAATTTGATATCTCTGCCAGACCTTTGTCATGTGTTTCTCCTCTTACCGTAGGCAATGGCGCGGGTGGTGGTAAGCGTTACACAAAGCCTCCCGTTCCGGACCGACGTTGCCGTCGTGCAGTTAGAGTTGCAGCTGTGGGACAAGGAGCTCGAAAAGTTGCCCACGTGGTTTCCCGCCTGCGTGTTGTCCCCCACACGAAAGCACAATCGAGAATACAGCGGCAGCAGCAGCAGCAGCAGCAGGATGGGCAGGAGGGGGGAGAGGAATGCATGCAAACGAGAAGGCAATTAAGGAAGGCAAGATGTCAGCAAACACGTTTCCCGGCCAATATGTGATCTTGACGACCTACGACTTTCACAGCTCCAAGGCTTGGTTGAACAACAACACCAACATACCAGTGGTGACCAAGTTTCAGAGACACAAGTACTTTAAGCGAAAATACCCAGGCAAGAGTTGCACGTACGTTCAGATGACATCGAGCCAGCAAGCACTACGCGGTCGGCGCTGGAACAACCAACGGTTGCGCTCCCTGCTGATCTATTCTACGAGCTACACACGGCAAACACAACATCCGCCCGGACAGCAAAGCGAGTCGTGCTTCCACGCAAACGTCCGAACTTCAAAAACAACACGCGAACGGCACCAAAGAGGACATCGCCACAAAAAAAAAATCCTCCCGAAAAGCTCAAACTATATCCAGGACGAACGATCTCCCAATCCCCCCCCACGAACCAAACAATAAAATATGACATTTGATCTCACCTCGACGTGCAGCAGTCCGAAGCCGCGAGCGTCCTCCTTGGGCCTTTCCATAATGAAGTTGTAGAAGTCGGGGAGGTCTGGCTTAAGGCCGTGCTTAAGCTTGGCCTCCTCGATGGCGCTCAGCTTCTCGTTCCAACGCCATGACGGGTACAGGTCCCTGGGGATGCGTTCAAAGCGGGGGGAATGAATGATGTTCGCCGCAGGAAACGTAGATGTGAGATTATTTCGATCACGGCGTGTACAAGTAGCAGCATGAGCTTGTTGCTCTCAACTCTGCAGTAATGGGCCACACTCGCCTTGGGCAGGCTTCCCCAAGCAACAGCGAGCAACAACCGGGCACTGTGCAGTAGCGTTAAGTCGTGTTCTCTGGGTGTGGTACTGTACAGTAGCATTTGTCAGTATTTGCCACCTTGCTTTCTCTCGCAAAAAAGCCAATCACGGGCCCCTCAGCTAAATGAACTGCTTCGATCACTCATTGTTCTCAGCACAAATTAAGTTGTGAGTGGACGTTTCGCAAGGTTCTTGTTGGCATCTCATCTGGTTTGGAAGATCTATCTCTCGGCGTACATCGACGCACCCCTCTGACTCACACGAGGAAGTTTTACTCTGGAATATTGATCTTGTGGTGCACGCGCGACAAACTTCGCTCATGCCGTTTCGCATCCCGTTTCTTCCTCTCTCTCTCTCTCTCTCTCTCTCTCTCTCTCTCTCTCTCTCTCTCTCTCGCTCACTCTCTCATTATATCTCTCTCACTCTCTCTGGTTCTTCATATAGCTTCCACTCACCCGAGGTACTCCGACACAAACGTGTCCGCTTTGAGCCCTTCCTTCGCCTTGCAGATGACCCCGGTGCCCTTGGGGTGGCTGTGGAAGTAACACCGGACCAACGACTCGGTTGCACGGTGCTCCTGGTGCAGCAGCTGGAGCCTGGGGAAAGCAAGATGGGCCAATGAAGGGACAAAGAAGGAAGACAAGGCAAGAGTGAACACAAAGACGTTGACATATGAAGGCTTAGACTACTCAAGGGGAAGGAACAACGTCAATACCTCTCTTCATTTATTCACCTACCCCCCCCCCCTGCAAAAGAACAAAAAAGGACTGACTGGAATGTCTCTTCATGGTTTCATTCGTTGTTCAATTGAACACTCTGACACAAGACATCAAGACATCAAGGAAAACAGAGAAACAAAAAGCGAGAGAAAAATGTGGCACTGAGCTAAAAGGGTGTGTAAGATAACACTTTCCCAGGAGAAGGAAAAGACTCGGCAGGAAAATGACAATGCACCAATCACGCTTGTCGTGCACTTTCACAGCCGTCGCCACGTCTCTCTCGGTGTCTTTCTCTCGCTCACCCCTCGATCGCGTGAAGCAGCGCCTGCGCGGCAAGCAAGTGCTCCCCCTCGGCCTTCGGACCTAGCTCGAACTCTTCCGCCTCAGCGCGGGCTCTGCTGGCCTCCAGCTCTTCCTCCGTCTCTCCGTCCGGAATGACCTTCATGTCCACAGCAGTGAGGACAGTGTTAACAGCCTGGGGTTATATTGCCTTCCATGCTCGTTTCGCCAGATTTGGGAAGTACATCGACTCATGACAATCGGTGCCATACTTGCATGACACGGTGTTATCTTGCACTGTATGCGTGATAGAAACAGCTGCAGGACTCAACAACAAAACAAATGTATCACATCCAACAGCAGCATCCTCTCTGGCGATGAATTGGTGCGGATACCGTACCTTGCAAAGGTCTCGAAGTGCCGGTAGCATGTCTAACCCCCTCGGCCCGTTCTGGCGGTTCAAGGCTGGAAGCAGGGTCGTAGTGATCCAGTGCTGAGCCTGCTCCTTGCTGAGTCCCAGCGTGAGATCGAGCATGTGCTCCACGTTGCTACGGGTGTAGCAGTCGATTCCCCACACACTCCGCTCCTGTAGTAGCGGGAGGTGGTAAAGCCGGGGAGCGCATCAATCAAGAGAGGGGAGTCTACTCCATATACAATACGATGCACACCAGTGTACTTAAGAGCGTAGACCTTCGCGCCCACACAACACCATCAAGCCGACCATGTTCCCTCCCGTATGGTGAACAACATATGGTTCGTGTCACACGGTGGAGTAGCGCACAGCCTAAGGGCGATCAAATCGAACGACACGTTATCAATCGAAGAAACCATCAGATCAAAGACACAGGTAGCCGTGGAAGCAGCAGAAACAACAAACGACAGCTACAGCACCTAACATTGGCCTCAATAACAACACCGATAAAACATTGGCGACAACAACAACAGCACCAACAATAATCAACCTACAATAACAAACAGGCAACGACAGCAACAGCGGCAGCAGAGGTTGAACTCCTATCCCCCACCCCCCTTCCGCCAAAAAAAAAAAAATAATGACGAAAGCGGCACACCTCAAGCTGTGCCTGCCCCAGGCTGCCGTCCTCTTGTGCAGGGGCCACCACGTCCACCACGCCATCCTTGCCGCCGCCTCCCTTGCTGTTCCCGGAGGTACCCTTCGAGTCGCTCTTGACGCTCTTGACCCTGTACCTTGTCAGGGTGAGGGGTTGCTTCTGCACCTCGTTCTTGTCGTTCTTGATATTGATCGACACCATGTTGCACATCTTGTCCAACAGGTTCGAGACCTGGCACAGCGAAAGAGAAAAATAAACCAATGCTTGTTGTCGCGAGGGGGCTCATATATCGACACTGAGCACAATTTTTCAAACTGGTGAAATCTGCCAAAAGACTGGTCTAGCTGAACAGCTATGCATATCATCATGTGGCATGGTACCCTGGACAAGCATTGAACGAGCGTTTTCGTCCCCCGTTCGCGCGAAATACATGTACATATCCCTGCTCGCCTGCGCCCGGATGCCTTCGTCGTTGAGAAGATTGCCGCCGTTTTCGGCACCGCTCGCACCCCCCCCTCCCGATTCTTGGGTCGCCCCCTCCCCTGCGATCGCAAGCGTCGTAGAAGCAGAGGAAGCACCAGCTTTGGAAGCGGATGATTCCTTCACGTAGGTCCGCATCCAGGCCTCACTGATGCTGTAGTCATCGTTGGAGCCGTGCGCCTGGATACATTCGTCGAGAGTTTTCCGTGTCAAACGTTGCACGGAAGACATAAAAAAAACAGGGCGAGGAGACAGAAGGCCAAGAAAAGAAAAAGGTGGGCACGCTTGACAGGGGCCAAGCACACTACGCGAAAACAACCAACAAAACCACACGCTGCAACATTTGTCATATAGCAACAAACACCACCCCAACATCCCGAAACAGGTCACCGAAGAAGTAACACCTCATCTTCACGCAAAACACACGCCCTCTCATTTTCGGCTGTTGTAAACAAGAGAGAGAAAGTCAAGGGGTATCGTGGAACGACCCGCAAGCCAAGACGCTGAAAAGGCGGTTTCCAACACGAGTACCTCGGTCACATAGCCGTCGGGGAGGTCCGATACCAGATCCACCTCGATCGCCTTGCGATCCTCTGGGCGAAGATCGCGAGCCGGCCTGTACGTCGTCAGGTACTGCTGGTACACTCGAAGCGGGAACGGCTCCGCCCGAAACTCTCCCTGGTTATATTCCAAGTTAGATCCAGATATTCCCAAAACATCAATTCGGAACAACATGGAGTGCGGAAATCCCAGTTTGGTCGAGTTCATCCCAAGAACATCCGCATCCAGAAGAGAACGGCGTTGCGGTAATCCGAGTCCAATTCAGTCCATTAAATATCCATGGACAAGAAAATGGACAAGTGGAATGCCATCGATTCGACACGGTGGGAGGGGGGGGGG